TTTTTTTTTTTTTTTTTTTTTTTTATTCCTTATCCATAAGAAAACACTGGTTTTAGCATAGCAGCAAATGGAGATTGTAGGATTTATTATAACATTCTTGGTGTATTTAATGTTGTCTGGACTCTTTCCAACCTATCAATCTTGTTAGACTGGGCTCATCTATAAGATACAATTTCTGCCTTTCGTCTTTCAATTATAGCTCTGATTTAGTGTTTTAAATCCTCTGTGAATGATCTGTATCTGAGCAAGCATGCAGGCAAGCTCGTGGCCCAGTGGACATGTCCCTGGTCTGGGGTCCATCGGCAGGTTTATGCCACCTTCAACTGTGCTAGGAAATGCTGCTATGCCAACAAGCCTTGCTCTCTCTGCAAGAAGTCTAGTATGATTGTTATGCACATTGTGTGCCCAGCACCGCTCTTTAAGTCTTGGGTGCGCTGATTGGCACGTGCCCAGAGCCACTCTAGCAGTGACAACTTCCATCTCTTGTCACATGTGCAGCGGGAGTAGTGGGCAGGGGCTGTACACTTGGGGCAGAGCTAAACCTCTCTCCAAGGGACCTGGATGCCTCTGTCTCAAGCCTCCCACGTGAAATGGGGCAAATCACTTCAGCCCTGTGTCCACGCACAAAACTATGCTTTTGGAGGAACAAAAAAGCCTTTGTGACAGGCTTACAGATACAGTGAGCTTGTTTTAATCCTGTGGCTGCCAAGATGGATCTTTTTAAGGATAATGGGGGGGTGGGGGTGGGAATGGGTAGAGGAACCTGAAGGTATTTTCACCAGGTAAGCATTTTTGTCTGTCTGCTCATCTACCACTTGGCTTAATGGTGCCCTGAATATAAGTATAGGGCTGTCCGATCTGCCAAGACTATTGTTTTATTGTGCGGTTTAGATCACTAAGTCAAAACACTACACTACACAAACCTCTCCCGTAAGCTGCTTGTGAATTGGCACTTTCATTTAGGGAGAAGGTATGTCTTAATATAATGAGTTACAACAAAGGGTTCAAGAAACCTTTTTTTCCTGGATTATCAGCCAAGGCAGAGTGAGTTGGGACATAAAGATGCTCTGAATACAAAGCTCCATTCCATGTAGTAGTTATGCCTTACCAGAAGCTTGAATAAAAATGAGTGCAAACCCACAAAGGTCCCATCGATTTAGGTGCCTAAATACCTTTGTGGATCTGGATCTGACTGATGTAGAGCTGACTGGATTATTTCTGATTGGCTGTGGAATGATATCCAGTGACAAGCTAGGAGCTTCCACTCTGGGGAATAGCTTCACAATAAAACCTCATTGTCCATAGCAGCATAGAAAGACCATTTTAGTAGTCAGTGTGGACAGCTGGCTGTTTCTGATCTAAGTTTTGCTGCCAATGGTTGTTTGCTTCCTGTACATCTCTGGTGCTTTAAATGATCCAGCAGGATCTTTTTAATTGGTTCCCAACTATATACAATTCATGAGTTATCTTGTTGCTTACTTTCTGGTGTGGTCAAGTAGAACATGCTATTTCATGGTTGAGCTTTTTGCATTGATGAAAGTCACTCCATTTGAATATATTAAACTTCAGAAGGAGAAAGCCAGTTTAGTCCATCTTGTCAGCAACCCAGAGGTCACACAATGCATGCAGGAGAAAAAGGACTGGGAATGTCTAGAAGATCCAAACACCAGTGGATATTTGGTAACTCTTTTCTTTTCCCTTTTCCCAGGATTGACAAGACCATGCTTGCCAGCCTGAAGATGAAGTAAGTAATTGATTGGATTTTTCTCTTATATTATGCTACCTTTGTGTCAGGCTTTTAAATAGGTAACTACAGAGGATCTGATCAACTAGTTCGTTTTTGGGCTTATCAGTGGATTTAGATGTGTACTGGGGTGTGAATTCTGAGCAATTTTATCTTTAGTCAAGGTAGAGGTGTGGGCCACCACCCGGCTGATGAATCCATCCAAGAGCCTATCCACAGGGTGGACCAGCAGGGCTTCCAGCTTGAGTACCTTTACTGATATCCACTATGACACTGGTTTGTGAGCGAGGTGGTATCTGGGGAGCTCCTCGGCTTCACTTAAATCAGTGGGGGCCAACCTTTTTTGGTAGGTGTGCTACAAATAAACCCTGCACCCTCCCTGAGTGCCACTCTAATCCCCTTCCCCTGCCCATGCTGCGGCTCTGCTGTCTGCTTCCTTCCTCATCCTCCCTGCTTAATCTGCGTCTCTGCTTTCTGCCACTGGGTTCCCTGCTCCCACCCCTGCCTGCTCTATGCCACGTATAGGGACTGCTTGTGCCACAGTGGGGTGGGCCACCCCTGATGTAAACCAACATCGTTGTTTTGCCCCGTTAATAGAGCACTAATTCTTTCTTCATTTGGGATCAATTTACTTTGCTGCAGAGGGCCCCCAGCCCAAGATATACACATGACTTAAAATCCAACTTAAGCTCTCAACACAGGACTTGAATGGTGTCAAGCCTAAGTCCCCCTCTAGGTCATTTGGGATGGGAAGGTCTCCTGAGGAAAGAGGTGGCAGCCCCATTCATTTGAATAACTGCAACCTTGGAGAAGAAGGCTTCAGGGGAGCCAAGATTTCACCTGGAGACTTTCAAGCCAGTAGGGACCCTTACAAGGGTCTCTTCTGACCCCCATGTGATGTGTGGCTGACAATGCGTGGGTAAGATGAACAGTAAGCCTTCTACTTCTCTGTTTTTGATTATTTCCTCATTTCATTAGTGGAGCTATTTTTAGGCACCTTACACTGCTTATTTTCCTCTGAAGTTCAAGGTGATTCATGTACTCGGCGATTATAATAAATACAATGACTGTCTTTTAAATGGGGCTAAGGCTGTATAATAAGACTGTGTCTAATTTATAAGCTGTCAGCTTCCTTTGGAGAACTCAATGGCGTTGGCCATCTCTCACCTTTATGACATGGATCACCAGGACCTCTGCTTCTTTGGGTGCTATGTCTTGTACTACTGGAAAAAATGGGTCTGCTTTTAAATCAAGGGGTTTCTCCATGGGATTATGCTGTAGTTGGACTGTATTGCTTTTCCAGTGCTCCCTTTACCTATTGCTAGGCACAAATTCTTCATGTTAAATACATTATGTATGGCATTTTCAAAGAAGCCTTAGGGAGTCAGGTATCAAACCTCATTAAAATTCACCTAAGGCTGCTTGGGAAAAATCTCAGGTGAGGTTGAAGGTGGCTTAAAAATGAGGACGTGCCTAACGACCCTTTCATCCTTTTGCGCTGCTTGGAGGCAACTGGGTTAATTATACATGGCAGAACAGGAACATCTACTGGAGTGTCCTACATCCCTGACAAACGACTTACCCACTAGCTTATTGACTGTGCTGGAGGTGTTGCGGGGGGGAGGGGGGCGTTGGTCTTGGAAACAGGGAGATTAGCAAGGATTTGGTTTTGTCATGCACAGGAATGGAAATCAGTTGTAAGATGTCAGTGTTCTGGGTAGTGTGGTTGTTACTTGCCAGCCAGGCGAAGGCAGAGTGTTATGTGAATACAGCTATATTGCTGCTAGGCTCTAAGTTGCATGGTACCGTGTCAACATACCCTTTCTGCTAGTCCTGCTCCTAGCACATTTAAAGAGGATGTTTAACTCACTGGTGCCTAGTCTAGCCTAGTGGTCCTAATGTGGTTACTGCCACAGCAATGTTGGGAGGTCTCCAAGTATATCCATACAGCAAAACAGTGATGCAGCGTAAAGGAGCTTAATCCTGGTATAGGTGAGTGTAGCTTAACACATAATAGTGTGAATCAAGGTTTCAGACCCAGTGCCATTGCTACAATCAACACAAAGCGCTTCATTGCCCTTTTCCATTTTTAGGAATTCCAGATCAGTATCACACCTCCAGCATCTTGCATGATGCTTTCTCAAGGTAAACATCATCCTTAGCTCACTGTCTTGACAGACTATCAAATCTCCCTTGTTAAGTTGATAGACACAGCAGCTTCCACCTGGCAAACTTCTGATGCCTTCCTGGATTTTTGTGCATTATGGATTGGTTTCATGAGTTCCTGGACAATTGCTATTTATGAGTCAATGAGCTAAGGCAATAATATTCCTAGCTCCAGGAAATTCCTGCTTATCTCAGCTCTTCTCAGAGTTTTTTGTCTTGTTCCCTATAGCTTGGAGGTGAACCTGATTTCCATCCACCACTGCTGAGGTATTCACTGTGCTGCCTGTTGTTGGGAGACCATCTCATTTGGGTAGACGGTGCCCAAATTTCTTTGTCTGAGAACCTCGCTGAGTAATAGTGATGTCTGACATCTGCCTTAGACTTGCCTGCTCTCATTTCTGTTTCAGCTCTGGCCCTGTGTGGCAGCTGCCATTTTTTTTAATCTGTGCTCACAATTTAAGGTCTGAACCAAAGCCTATTAAAGACACTGCAAAATTCCCCAATGTTCTTCTTATATCGTCAGGGTAATGTTTGGTTCCCGCTTTGCCAGCATTGCAGTAAAACTTTATTGGTTAAAACAAATGATAGTCTTATTCCGTGTCTGGGGACAATTACAAGTTCTGCATGCGTGGATCCTTTCACATCACCGAGACAACACAACCTTTTCATTTATAGAGAAACTCTTGAGGAAATTGTCCAAAGAAGGCCATTCTCTTCACTCAAAAATAACTTGAAATAAAAGCATAAAGCACAAGGACTGTACCTGAAAATGGAGGGCTGGCACTGTTGGGGCTGTGAAATAGGCTGAATCCCCTCAACACTTTTGGGGAACTCAGCCCCTTCCAGAATCCTGCCCCGAGTCAAACGCAGGCCCTACAAAGTGTCTGACTTATCTCTCTTAATCTTCAGAGTGAACTGAACCTGCCCTAGAGAGAGAGGCAAACATCAGCACCTCTCCATTCAGCTGGGACCAGCCCAGAGGTGAACATTGCTTTCACTATTCTGAAGTTCACAAGCTCCTGGTATAAGCTCTGCCTCACTCCCTATAACTGAGAGTATTTTTCACATCTTCCGTGACTGCTGATGACTCTTGCCATCTTCATGTTTCACAAAAGATGCTGGGCATGTTTCCAGAGAGCGAAGAGCTAGTGCTACTGATGTGGCAGGAAGGGCAACTGTGTCTCCAGGACATGTACCATTTTACTGTGGGGTGTATCCCTAGGCCTTGTCCCTAGATCTTGCAAAACTATTTGCTAGCATTGAAACCCAAGCAAGGAGCTGCTGACACAGAACTCAAGCTGTATTATTTATTCAGGTGAAGTCCAGTGGGTCAGGGCCTGGAGCTGGGCCCATCCCTGACCAACTATGTGACTTTGGACAAGTCACGTCCACACTGTTTTCCTTCCCACCCCTTATCTATCCAGTCTATTTTCTTGTAAGCTGTTTGTGGCAGGAACTGTGTGCGTGTGTGTGGCCCCAATCACAACTGATATATCCATGCTCTACTTCAAAGCAAACGGTAATCTTCAGGACTCACTCCTGTTGAGTTTGAGCTAATATGAATGAGTAATTGCTCATCTACTTTCCCTAAAAATCATTACTTGCATAAATTATTGTTTAGCATTGAAAATGCAGAGAAATCCCCCTGGGTCACTGCCAGTTGAGTGAGCTGCATGCCCATGGTAAATGGCATAAGAGAAATTTTCCTAATGAGCTCATTGTTGATGCTTTTACTGAATTAATGGGGACTTTAAATCAGGTTCCAGTGTTTACCACTTTGGAAAAAAAAATCCCTGTGGAATTTTTCCTGTGGTGCTGAGAACGATTTAATTGTTTTTCCCGTATTGCCTTGGGCAGTGTTTTCTGTATTGCTAGGGGCTGTGTCAGTTGTTTGCTTGGTGTGGGCTTTGGTTTCTAGAAACAATTCAGCCACAAAAATGTGCGTTTAACCTGCTTGGTCCAGCACAGCATTCAGTCCTGCTTGCTCTACACCTCGTTGTGTTCAAAGTGCTATGTCAGCGCTAACTACTACAGCTGGCATTGCACCAGACCTGGGTGGTAGGTGATGCTGCCACTGATTGAAAACACTGGGTTCATCCCAGGTAAGTGTTTTGAAACTAATGAGAATGTGGCAGCAGGGCAAGGGAAGGAAATGCACAAGTCATTTACCTAAAATGGGAAGGGTCTGTCTTCGGTTTGACATGACAATGACTGGAAGATGGGAAGTGTACCACAATTCAAGGTGTGATTATAGCATGGGGTTAACTTCGGTCCAGACAGCTGGGTACCAGGAGTATTGGAGATATGACAATGTGGGCTACCCACCCAAGTAGATGAGTAGGTACAGTCTATGCTGAAGCTCATACTGCTGTATCTTCACAACTACTGGTAGCTTAAGGCTAGCTTAGGTGTGCTTGTACGTTCTGCAGTCGCACCTCTAAATTGCAGCGTAAATGGGGATGCCCTAAGGGGGGGACGGAGAGATGTGCATCTGTGCGAAGAGTGCACAAGCTAGGGAGAGGAAGACTGGATGAAATTAATTAATGAAGTTAAGTTTTGAAATCACCCTCTACAGTGATTCTCTGATTCTCCCTGATGACAGCACTTGGGCATCTGGTTGGTTTTAAATGCATGAACTTAGTGGGCTTCTACTCCATGTGCTGTGTTAGTTCAGAACCAGGATGTTCAACCCCTTATGAAGAGCAGCCTGTAGTGAATCACAGGAAGTCAGACTGGCAGGAACAATTAGACTGTGGAAATGCTTTACAGACAAGTTTGGGAAGCCTCCTGGAGCAAGTTCCTTATGGCGAGAATGGACAAAATGTGAGAAACAC